GAATACAATTTTTTAATTTTTTAATATAATTTCAAGAGTTGAAAACAATAGAATGAAATATAAATATACAATACAATACAATTTTCACACAATTTTTTGACCTGATCTTAATCTTATGAACTATGAACTCTGGCGTTGAATATTTTTTTCGCTAATCAAGGAATTAAAACGCAAATATAACGTTTGCAAATTGTAATGGTTCTCTATGTAAAGTCTTCACACAGGATTAATATTTCACGAAATTTTAACCGATGTACGTGGATTAAATTTTCATTTATATCACCATCACGCGTTGGATACAGATAAAAATATTTATACCTGGAATAACCATGGATTATATCCTCCACCGCGTTGCATTTTTCAATGAAGATTAAACACGCTTGTATAAAAGAAAAAGACCGTGCAATACGTTTAAATTAATCCTTGCACAACTCGCTTTAAAAGAGATTGCTTATTCAAATAAGTATCACGATCTAAAAAAAAAAAAAGAGGATCAAATAATTTAGGTAATTTATTATAATAATCGATTTAATTTTTCATTCATAATCCGCATAAATATTAACAAATATCGATTAATTTTAATATTTGAAATTAAGAAATATAGTAACTTTTATCGTATAATAATTTCGTATAAATATCCACCGACTATCGATCTTGACAAAACTACTGTTCCTTGGTGATTACGACCTTAACTTCCGTCAAAAATGACGTCCATCTCTACGTCAACGTTGGCCGAACATTCGCGTGATCGTACGATATAATGAATAAAGTATCGGTTAATCATCGCGAAGACCTTTTATTTTCCCCATAATTCTGAGAGTGAAATATTTAAGATTCGCCGTTCGAAAGAGAATATTACTATTTGAAAAATCGGGTAGAAAACTGTCGTCTGTTTAGTTGGTTTTTCGTCGATTAATACGACGTGGCGGATACGCCGGCTTTTGACGCATCATCGACAATGCGCGCCGTTTCCATCTACCTATCCCGTACCGTGCTTCGTTTGTTGCCGGAAATTGAAATTTTCATGTCGGTCTGCGCCGCGGATCCGAAATACTAATGGATCTGAAATAGCGGGGATAAAATGGTTGCGCGTCGGTGCCTTAATCAACGAGCTCCCCCGTCGCTTTTTTTTATTTTTCTCCCTTTTTACCCTTTCGTTTTTCCCTTTCTTCTTTCATACTTTTTTTTTATTTCTCTCTTTCTTTTTTCTTTCTTTTTTTTTTCTTCCTCCTTGATCTGTTTGGGAACGAACATGGCGGGGAAATGAAAGCATGATATAAAACGCACAGTTAATTCTCGATTTCGGTGGTGAACCGTAATCCAACGGGGCGAGAGATCGAGCTTCATTTCCGGTTACGGGTCCGGGCAATCAGGAATCCGGCTAAACAAAGACCAGTCGGCAATTTGGCCGAGAAATCTTTCGGGTCGGTTGTGAACCAACCACGGATAACTCCATTACGAAGAGAGAAAACGAGTGCCATGTTGAGGTGGAATGGAATTTTCACTTAGCTTCGAAATACGAAGCTGAAACGTGTGGAAAGAGTTAGATTAGGAATGTTTGGGGCGAAGAGAGAGTTTAAATGTAACGAAAAAGGAAAACGTAGATTCGATATGTTCGTATAGGTTATGATAGATAGTTTCGTTAATATCGCGAATAGCATTTCTAACGAGGAATTTCTAGCAGGGTTTCTTCTTACGACACGTTCCACTTGTCACACGTTCATCTTCTGTCAGTCAAAAGTATAGTACAGTAATGTTGGAATATATATGGTCATGAATTTGTCCGCTTATACGGCTCTCGAGTTACCCCTACCACTTCCTGATATTATTGGCAAACTTCACTACCATCTAAGATCTGCATTGACGATAATTTAATTATTATTTAATTATCAGAACGGGAAAAATATAATTCTTCTTTTTTGCAAGATTACTTTATTACTATTATTACAAAATTACTTTAGATTACACTTTAAATACGATTATATTTTATTTAATTGTTTCCAATTGAATAATAATTACTCTGTATTTCACTCTCGTCATTGGCGCATGCGCGGTAGAACGAACCAGTGTCAATCTCGAGTATATGTAAACTTAACCTATTTTATGTCTTGAACCATACTATTTCCGCTAACTGCACGCAATTTCTTCGCTGATCACCCACTCTTCGTTTAAAATAGGAAATTGACACGCCGTTGTGTTCACGGCTCCCCGATTTCTATTTACGAAGTTTATTCGATTCGATAAATGCCGATTTGCAATCGACGACTGGTGGGTATAGCCGACTTCAAAGTGGCGTAAAGTCACGGCCGCCTCTCGTTGATACGATTTTTTTCGATTCTACCCCCCAGCCAGCCTGCAAATATTTTGATTGGATCCGAACGAGCATCAACATTCCCGCGGGTGGTCCCCCATGCAAATTGTCTTCGTAAACGTTCTCCTCGAAATAACCGGTATGTTTTTCCCCGGTAATGAACATTCCAACCTCGGCTAAATGTTGGGTTACTCGACAAAACTATAAAGGGAGGAAGTGAGAAAAAGTGACAAACAAGAGGGAATAACACAAGCTTGGATCCCATGCGAGGATATTTTAGCTACCCCCAGGAAAGCACATTGAAGTTCCATTTCTAATCCCGATGTAACAAACGGAATATGACCTCACTCCGCAACTTTCAAAAACACGAAGCTCTGTAATACACGTACTACAAACTAACGTTCAAAAGTTTTCTACGGTTACTCTGTTGTTGCTCGCATTTTTCTTTAATGTATTACCGACCAACTCTAGTAAATCCGCCATTTTCTACTGCATGAACTATGATGTAAATATACGGTATTTTCTTTTTTAATTTTTTTAATTTTTTGATTTTCATTCTGTTTTCAGGTAACTACGTTTTGTAAGCTGTTTGAACTTCTAGTAGTTTCTCCTTTCGTAGGTAATATTTTTTTATAATATTTTCTAAAACGCGTAATATATAACTTGCACTCTAAATTTACTTATCTTATACTAAAATATTATTATATTACGAAAAAAATACATCATCCATCGTTGCATTTTTATTTTATTTGGAAAAAAAATTAAATCACAGAAAAATTCGAACATTATGAATTTGAGATTAAGTCGATAAAAATTTAACGCAAAAATAATCAGTGATGATCCTAAATTGAACGTACCACATACTCATCCATTGTATACATTCTCTATACACGTGTGTGTGTCGGCAAGCTTTCTCCTCGTTTTTCCTATTTTCAGCTATTCTCTACGGAAATCTTAGCCGAACATGACCGTGGTAATACGAGTGTCGCGCGAAGCCAGACGGGTTGCAGAAGGCAGGCGTTCCTCTCTGGCTTGTACCGATGAATGCAGGCTAGACAGAGAATATAGAGGGAGAAGGTCGAACTGGGGTGTGTATTGGAGAGAGAATCACGGACTCTCTGCTAGAAAGAGTAGGGGATGATGGTCGGAGGAAGAGGGAGGGAGAGAGAGAGAGGGGAGCACGGTCGAGCAAACGCGGTACGATCGATCGGTACTCCAGCAAGCAGGCGGGGGGTTCCCCGTATATAGACGAGTTCTTCTGCTCCCTGCACCACCACACCCACGCTTTCTGCCTTCTTTCATCCTCCGCATCGCTCTATCTCTCTCCATCTCTAACACTCGGTCTGCGTCATTCACAGTCGCTCGGTTTCTTCTCTTCGTAGCTCTTCGCTCGTATACTTTTTTCCTTACGACGATTCTTTCGTTCCATCTTCGTCTCATTCGTTGAACTCCTCCAAGTCCAGGGAGTTCTGTGACGAACGACGGACATAAGCAGAAGCAGCTGTTCCAACAGCCGCTTTGCTTTTCTCTTTCAATGTCTACTGCCAAACCCTCTGGACATCATCCCCTCCCCCCACAACTTTCATCTGTGCCGTTCCCATTTTCTCGGTTCGCCGGAGAAACCTCGTCTCCCACTCTCTTTCCCCTCTCGTTTTTCGTCTCGTTCACGCGTGTGCGTGCATGCGTGCGCGCGCGCTCTACCGAGGAATCGTAACGAAGTCGTAATGAAAGACCCTTACGTTCTCGCGTGTCATAAAGTGTGTAGAGGGGTTTGGAAAGAAGAAAAAAATGTTCGCGGCGGAAAGTTGAAACGTTGCCCGTCTAATTTCCTATTCGTTAGAGAGGAGAAGTTGAATGGATTCTATTCCTCTCGACGATTACTAAATTTTGCGGTTTTCTTGCTTCGCCGTCTCGATGGTTACTGATGTGTGTGTCGTCCAACGAGTGCAGCAGCGCCACCATATGATGATTTATCGAGTCACTCGTAACAAGATGGTTTTCATTTAACTGTCGGGATGAAAATATTAAGCGAGTTATATCCGGAATGGAATGCTTGTTACGTAATTGGTTAGAATTTGCACAATAGTTATTAGGATAATGAAATTGAGAAACAATTAGCGTGATTTTTGGAAGTTTATTTACCACGAGTTGAATTAAACTCGAATCTAAATATCGAATTAACATCGAAAAAGAGAATCCCTCGCGTCCATCTCCTTTAATTCCTTAAACACTCCCAAGATAAAATCCGATCACTTTAAGAACGTGTTACACACTGTCCCTGTTTCGATCTGTAAAATAAGCTTGTGCAACGTACAAGTTGAAATAAACTTAAACCAAGAATAAAGAAATAAGATAAATTTATCCGCGTAAAGTTTTCTCTTGATAAAAATAAAAAGAAAAGAGAGAAGATTAAAAAAGATAACGAAGAGAAATTTTTATTTTTATATCTTATACCAAGAAATTATCTTTAAGGAGAAATATATAGAATAAAGAGAAATCGGGAAAGAGACGATCGTAAACGCAAGAAATTTGTTTCCAGTCGGTCGGATAAGGAAGACGTATGTAATGGCTTCTGAGAGTGTCCGTTGACAGTGGATTCGCCGAGATTGTACGGAATCTTCTCCCCGTTCCACTTTGGATTTCCGTAGTCGTATCAGCGGCTTAGAGACTAATCCATTTACGCTTTATTGGTCGAGACCGTGTGGCCTTTGGCCGAACGAATTTCCGCCATCGCCACCTTCAACCCGCCGCCATAGTATAATAACACTCTCGCGTCTCCCGGAACAAGGAAACGCTGTTTGTTCCTTATTATCCCGTGAAATATTGGCCCGAGAGCCGCATACCGGTAAAAGCTCGATACAATACGTTCGGTCGTCGACTAAATTACGGGTGTCGCCTTTATATAAATATTTCCACGGTTATTCATCCGTGACAAAATCGAGATCGTTCAATAAATATGTATAATATATATCTTTCTTTTTAAAATAGCGCGAAGAAAAAGAAATATAATTATATATGTTATAGTCAATTTACTTTGAAGTAAAGAAAAAAATTAAAGGAGAATATTTAATTAGAGAAAACACTTGTTCTTCAGCTCTGACATTTTTTTATTGTATTTTTTTTTTTTTTTTAGAATTACCTTAATAATTTAAAATATCATAGCAATAAATATTCTTCATTGTCAAATGTAAATGTTTTTCTTTTAATTATAACGTTTAATAATTAGAGGAATGTTGCATGGATTATGGCTAATCTATCATTTTTAATTTCTATCATACCATATATATGAAAAAATTAAATTTGTTTTATTATTTGAATATCGAAAGCAGCGTTTATTCTTCGGTTGATCGAAACGTTTCGTTACCGGAAGTTCTCCAGCAAAGGCGTGGAAATATTCTTAGAAAGTTCACCGTGAAATCGATTGAACCCTGTGAACGTATATAAAATGAGAGGGAAGTTTTCGACACGAATCCCATCCAACAATTTCTCTTTGTTCCTTAATTAATACTAATAATAATAACTTCGATCGTTCTCGATAATTGCTCGAACTTTTTTGATCGTTCTAATTGAATTTTTGTTCCCTTTTTCTCTTTCTCTCTCTCTCTCTCTCTTCTTTTTAATTCCTGTATATGCAAGTTTGACCTTATTCGACACATTTGCAGTTTCAATAGCGATACTTATCGAAGCGAGACGGTGACAAGCCGCGTCATAAAATATTACCGATATTATCCTTTGAATTTTATTCTTTTCACGCGGAGAAGATGGAAGTTTGCTTAGACATCACTGTGACCTCTGGTAGGCGGGAATAAAATATACTCGTATATAATTTACATGAACCATGAAAACAGTAAGATTATAAAATTTAGAAATCTGATAATATAAAAGCTTGAAACTTCGATCAAAGAAATGAAATTTGTTATACGAAGCATAAATGTATAATTCTTGTATATTATAGATATTTTATATGCATCGGGGAAACCACAAAAATTTTTTTACGATTTAATCACACCACATTAATATGTTAATTCTTCTCTATATAACTTTCTATCAACTTTCTCCATCACAGATTATTACTTCGGTTATTTATATATATATATATATATATATATTACTCGTATATATTCGATTACTCATTTATCGTACACATGAAAGTTGAATTAACGAAAAGTATAAATATAAAAACTATTTTTTTTTCTACTCATATCAATCCAATGTTTAAAATAATCAGGAGAAAAATGTAAAGCGTAAACAATAAATCATTGTTTTCCAACGACAGAGGACCAGCGAAAGCCACTTAAAACTCAATCGATACTCACGTCCTCGTAATTCGAGTGGATCGCGGCTGTGGAACGTCGTTTATTCCTTGGTTCGATTAGCGAAGCTAAGTGTCGGTAGCTGTATTAGCCTTATTTCCGTCAGGAACTTGGGAAAGGTCGGGTCTAGGTCGCATGCCTAGATCTGAGCGAGCGATCGAGCACACCCTGGTGTCGTAACATCGACTTTTAATGAAACGTCTCGAACGCTGCGCCGCACCGCAGCATATTGCACGATCTAAAGGTTACTCTCGCGCATTGAAGTTCGATTTGTAGCTAAGTTGCATCGTTGGATAGAAATTCTCTAGAAGATTATTTGTATCATTGATGTATTGAATTATAGTAGAATCATTGTCAATTTCGATTCAAAAGTCTATCATGGTTTCTGTATACAGCTATTACATTATTGTAATACTTATTGACTCGAATGTTTTGTGACTTTTCTTTTTCTTGGGGATCATGTCGTGAGAAAGGTTGGCAACCTTGTGTTTGCGTGCGCATCGCGATGTTTGCCAGTGAAAATTGAGAAACTACATTCGATATTTTAGAAAGTATATATTTAAACAATATACTTTTAATGAATATATGTTCGAATCTGTTATTATTTTGAAATTATTTAAAAATCTAATGCAATTACTATAATGTTATCTCTTTTTATCATATATTTCAGTTTTGGACACGTAACCAAAAAAAAAAAAAAAAAAAGGAATATTGCATGTGTGAATATCCTCAATCAACTGATCTTTTTTTTCTTAATATCCGGCGATCAGTGTTACACGATGAACACAGTTGCTTGCACGGTTCTTTTTCACCGCCATGATAGTGATTCGCAAGGTGTCGATGTCTAGGGTAAAAAAATATATAGTTTAGAAAGCTTGAAGGCTTCGTGCTTGAAATATTTATCGGAGACTTAGCGAGATTTGTGTGCATTTATACTCGAACAGAAGTCGATTGATACACATTTCCATATGCACCCATGTAGAAGGTAATCGGCTAATATACCAGGATCTGATAGCGCATATTATTAACGCGATTTGCCAAAGGAGCATGCATATTCACGGTTCTTTGATCTATCAGACACACTAAGCATTCCATGAATATTTATGTTCGCACAATTCACTTGCGACTTGATATCGCAAGCAAGTGTTGTAAATTAAGTTACTAGCTATATACACGTCTCTATTTGCAATCAAAATATTGTTCGAGTTTTTTTAATAATGTACACGCAATTTTTTATGCTGTATAACATAATCACAATATGTAAATTTTTTTCTTTTTTCTCTTTTTTTTTTCATAAATATTAGAACACTTGTTAATCTCGTATGAAACGTGACAATAATTGCAATATAAGGGCGTGTGAAATACATGTTAAAAAATTTAAGACCACCCCTGTCTTTGGTGTCGAGTTCTTGGACACTTCCTGTCGATGAAGTGTTTCCACAGAATTCGGGTCGCAATCAGGACGTATGAAATTTAATATCGGAGCGTACGTTACGGTGAGAGTCTATCGGATTTGCATCTGATAGTCGAAAACTCTTGTCAGCGCTCTTTCAATCTGGCTATAGTAATCAACCGAATGTAACATGTCGATATCGCATGTGAGACAAATATATATATTTTTTTATTGTCATTAATATGTTATTCGAAACGTTAAAAGATCGAATATTGAATAAAACTCAGTGAGAATGGAATAATCAAATCGATTATAGAAAATTAAAAATTTATCATTTCATGAGATTTTATTTTTCATCGAATAAAATCAAAATATCGTGATAACAATGCAGAATAAATTGAATTTTGAAAAACAATCTTTTCGTCAAAATTTATCTTTTCTCTTTTTTACAATATAATTTCTATCGTTTTTAAAATAAATTCGAAAATTTTACGAAACAAATTATAAATATAAATTTAACAATCTAATAATTACAAGTGATATCAAGTATGTAAATTTTGTTACGAAAATAAAATTTATAACTTTAACGAGTATATAAAAGCCACGATATAAGTCAGTTCAATATCTGAATCGCGAGAGCAATTATGTTTCTCCATCGCTTCTTGTCAATTTATTAACTTAATCCCCCGAAGAACAATGTAAGTACTGTCGACGCGCGACATTTCGTTCTACGTGGATGTAATTTCAATGGAAACGAACAATGTAAGTTGAAGAAATTAAACATCGATATTCGAAAAGATACGTGAATCGGAGCCTGTACAATAATTAACTTCGTTCGATCGTCAAACGAGGCTGCATTGTTCTTTCGCGTTCGTAAAAGGAGAAAAAAAAAAAAAAAGAGAGAGACTTGGAAAATGATGGAAGAACAATGAGGGCGCCACGATAGATCGTAATGGCGACCCTCGCAAAGGTTTCTCCGATTTTAACTTCTTCGCCCCGGATAAGATTCGGTTAATCTGTTTAAATTTCAATCAATGAGTACACGGTCTTATATATCGGCCAATCCTGTTATATAATTAAGTAACACAATGTAAGCGATTCTTTCGCATGTTGAAATGAATTTCTATGGTTTTTTTTTGAACTTATTTTATGATATAATCACGTTTTAATTATGTTTTTGTTGTAATTGTGTCGTTCTTTTTTTTCCTCCTTTTTTGTTCGTCTTTTTTTCTTTTTTTTTTTTGTTCTGCAATGAATAGGAAACAGAAATGCCGTAAAATTACAAGCTGTTAACCTTAATTGATCTCTGCATTTTTGTCACCACGCACTGCTTATTAACAACACTTCTAGATCAAGTACGCCTGTACTAGAACATCGGACAACTTTGTTTTCTCGTTATCACAGTAATTGATATTCAAAATGATAGTGAGGAAATAAGTTGAAACAAAGATTATCATTTTTAAGAAGTTTCTATATAATTATGAAAATTCGCTATACATTCTGGATATTAATATACAATCTTAAGAAATGGATGATTAAAAATTGAATTTTATCATGGAAAAAATTAGAAGTTTTAATAGAGTTTTAAAATCAGAAGAGGTACATTAAATATTTCTCACTTTAAATACAATTGTATAATAATTGCGTTAAAATTAAGATTTGAATTAAGATTATTTTTTTTTTTTTCTAATAATTGATCTTTTGGCTTTTCATCGACTTAAACGGTCAATAAAAAAACGATAAAAAATCTTTGAACGAATTACGATTGTGTTATGTTATGTTAATAAGCAGTGATGGCAAGTTGTCAAATAGAAAGCTACAAAATGTGAAAGAATATATTCACAATCAAGATGTAATGGCATGGGTAAAAAAAATATCGATCGATATATACGAAATACGGATTCAGGTCTCCGGGACATTGGAAGTCAGCCAGAAAGTGAAACTACCAGCTCTTCAGGTTGCCTATTGGCCTATTCGCGATTATTCGCGAGCGTGATGTTTTCAATTCGGATAATGGCACTGTTCTGGAGGTCGCTGGAATATTTTAGCAAAGCCACAATAGGATTGAAAACACGTGACAAGTGAAATCGAGCATACAGATATTTTTTACCGTTATAACAGAAAATTGATTAAAATTATGGCGTCGTTGTTTAATCTTATATAATTACAATCTTTTTTCACACTTCTAAAATCTGATATTTATCCAGTAATCCAGAATCTTGTAAAAAAATTTCTTTTTTATATTATATTTTATCTTATTTATATAGAATTTTAATATAGAAATCTAGAAGAATATTTTTGAAATTTTAAAGAATCATTATTAGAATCATAAATTCTTCCCATTATCTTCTGAATGTTATAATATATCAATAACGATCGAATGTCGAATGGAAATTTTTGAACTTTAGCATATGTTTACCGAGACTTGTCACATTCTTATAGGAAATGCAAATTTTTTGCATCATCACCTTGAGGGAAATTATCGCTTGTTACGAGGCTTAAACCGGACTCGCCGCTGTTAGCAAGCGACGAGCTGAACAGAAACATTCATACCGGATGGGACAGCATTAGTATTTATTAACCTAAGGTCGTCCCCTAATTGACGTAATTACCAGCTCGAGATATTCCGTGAAGATTGGGAAAATTGCTTGTATCAGTGGTATATACTCGGTTATCGAGTCATTAACTACCGTTGGAATTTGATTAATCAAAATTGAACACCTTTTTTTTATAATCTTTTCTATGACTTTCATACTAAACATTCACAATCTTTATTTTCTTTACATTTCATTAATATCGTAATTTTTCTTCTTTTATTTCTTCACAACATATGACTGATTCACGATCGACCGTCTACTTATTAATTATCCATCTATTTGAAAATAACGTTCTTTTAAATTTTCTTTTTTTTTTTTTCCATTATTAACCAACGAATCGGTAGATGCCATCAATATCAGTAAAAATAGGTCTCCTATTTTCAATTACCAATTAATACACGATTTATATGATAATTCAACGATCGAGAAGAACAATCGTCATAGTTGTTCTCCCCTTTTCTATCTATTCTATATTCAATTGTTGGTCTTTTCTTTTTTAAATCGATAAAACACCACAATAACTTTAATATTATCAGCATTAATTCATTCATGTTACAAGACATAATTATTTATATATTGACGATATGTTAAAATTTTCGTCATCCTCTTTTTGATCGTTAATCAAATACCGATTACGGAAATCTAAATCCAAATCTCAATTAGCGAATTTGCTCGCGAAGAGTTAATAGCATGTAACGTTGGTAACCACTTTTCGACATGTTCCTCGGTCGGTAAACGACATTGTCGTCCCGCGTGATAATAAATCAGGCCCCCGGTCATCATTTATAGCCGTTAGTTAACGACACGAGAACTACAATTATTTTAATGGTCCTGTCTACCGGCTGGGAATTCCATCTGGTTTTAACATCGATGCCCATGACATCGACGAGATGGCCGGATCCCATCGATAATCTCGCAGTTAGATGGAATTTATTGATAAAACGCTTATGTGCGTATATTGGCGCCCCCAGCGCACATCGGATCGGTAAGTTGTTTCAACGATACACGTGTATATTTCGTGTTACGAATCATCTGTGTACCGCACACTGTAGAATCGCCATGATTGCAATATGTATACCGTGTATATATACAGGTATAGTATGATGCGTTTGCATTAAAACGATCGTGACACGCTTCAAACGTTCCTGGTGATCGATGCTCGCAGACCATCTAATTTACACGCATGCAACAAGGTAATGGAAGCTTGTCAATATTGTCGCGGTTTACGAGACGAACTTTATGTTTGAAGTTGACAATTTGGAATTAAGAGAATTGTGTATATATTGAAGTTTTATGAGAAAAAGATGTGATTGAAATATCATTTAATTATAACAGTGGATAAATATGCAAGATTATGTTTATAAATTGCCGAAATTGCTTAGAAAAAAATTACTTATAGATTTTAAGTGAAAAAAATTTTTTTTCTTCTCAGAAGGATTCATTATTTAACGTATGTAAATAAACATTTTTTACTATGTAATATATACATTTAAAAAGATATTCCAAAGAAAATAATACAAAAGTCAAATTTACAATTAGAATTTTTATTTTATTAAAATATCTTTCATAAAAAAAATCTACTTTTTAAATTATAATGAGAATGATAACAATATCTATTTTTAAAAGATTTCACAAACTAGATCTGTTCGTCACAAAGTTATTTTCAAGAATATATTGAACTTCATTCAGAATTGAATATAATATCTTAAAAAAAATTAAAAACTAACCTTAAAAATATAAAATACATTGAAATTGTAAATTAGATATAGTATGAACACAAAAATTCTTTATAGAATAGAAACGAATTTAATACTATCATTTTATTATTTGCTATTTCGAACTATCTTCTGCCTATAGATATTAGTATAGATATATTCTCGCATAAAACGTATTTTAAAATGCGGATTTTAAAAGGAATATATTGGTGTGGTCCTACCTGACCAGGTGTTTCCATTTTGTTTCGTGGAAAATAATCGTGTAGAATGTAACTCGAAAATCCGACGATGATTGTTAACTTAGGACGATTTTTTGAAATAATTTCTACGAAAACATTACACGGTTCACGTTGTTCGTATCTATTGCCCTTTTGCTGCTTTTATATTCATCTTATTCATTTGTGTTCAGTTTGTTTCTCCATTCTCTTTTCCTTTCTTTTCCTTTTAGTCGTTGATGATCTATTATATCTATCTTTTATATTTATTTCTTAGCTGTGTCTCCTTTTTAAAAGAATTTCGAAAAACGTCAGATATAATTGATCTGATTAATTAATTATTAATTAATTAATAATTTTCCAAAAATTTTTTATTTAAAGATATCCTATATTTATAATTTTATTAACAGAAATCATCATTTTCAAAAGAATAATATGTGAAAAAAATGAACACCAGAGCAAAAAAGAAAAGTGCATGAAAAATAATAGTTTCGTTTTATATGAGCATAATAAAAACTTACTAGTATTATGAAATATAGGAGCATCATCGCTTAGAAAAAAAAAGAATAGTACAATCGTCCTAGTATGTTATTTCTATCTCACCAAGAGACTATGTATATTAGAGACCACAACGCCTGTATGTATGTAGGATGACCTATTTCAGTCTTTAATGAACCTTTCTCTACAAGTGTATCGAACGAAAAAAGGAGAATTTCAAAGAGAACTTCACATAAAAAACTTTAAAGATGAATATATGAATTAAATATTCCTATAATTTTTATATTTTTTTTTCTTCAATTTTCTATCATTTTATACTATGTACTATGTACCATATAATTAGCAAGTGATAAACTTTTTACCGTAAAAAAATATTAATCTAGAATAATTAGAAATTTTTACACCAAAAAAATAATACTGAAAATAAAATTCCTATGATCTATTAAAATCCCTACAATCTTATTCCCTAGAGTAATACAATTCCCCACTCCTTCGTTAAAACTGTGTCACGTGGTATCCATTAGTTCCGATCGCGACGCGTCGATCACTTGGCGTCCTGTGTTCATGGCGAAGCCTGAAAGAAGTCTTAGGAGGAAGCCGTTGCAAGCCACCCTAAAGAAGAAGTATAACTTCTACGAACAATAGCCGGTCGTTATCTTGACCGGCGCTTCGCCGTAATTTCTACGAAAGTCTTGCCAGTCCCCTCTTTTTTCCGCCATTCCTTTTTCACGTTTTGTTTTCTCGCCGTAGGCACGCATTGTACTCGCGCTGTATCCTTTCCGTGAACACGATCGCCTCAACAATGCACTGCCATTGACTCTCTTTCACTGAATCGTTGGATCAGAATGTGCAAGAAAGAAGAAGCAGATAGAAAGTTTCTGAGTGAGTGTTATATGCGGATTCTCCTCGTGTTTTCTAGCGCTTTACGCGGGGCAGATAGTTCGCGGGATTGCTACCATTTCGAGAAACGATTCGAGGCTACGATGAATGCCATTGAATCCTCGAGCAAATTCGCGCGAAATCGCAGCAAAGTAACTTCCTGCTTTTAATACTTCTACCAGGAGTTGGTGCATTTAGGTAACTTGTGTAGGTGTAACATTTAGGTTAGTTTGAAGAGAATATGAAAATAAACATAAAGAAAAAGTATCGAATTAACTTATATCAACTTTTAACATCACTTAAAAAAATATTTTTAAATTAAAGGTTAGACGTTAGTTAATGTAAATACAAAAAATTTCACAAAAATATAAAATCAAATCATTTTATAAATACAAAGTTAGATTATTATGTTTTTGAATTAATGTTTTGAATTAATTTGAATTTTAATTTAAATTTAAATTTAGATTAAATTTTAAATTTTGAATTTAGAATTAAAATTAAATTTCTCTTTCGCAATATCTAAATCTGAGATTTTAAAAACTCTATGCGAAAAATTATTATTATGTAAGAAAAGAAATTCAACAGTCTTGGTCTATAATTTTTTAGTCTAATGATGCTAATAAAATAGTGTGATATGATCGAATTTTCATAATATCTAGTAATCATAATAACCATGTATCATGCGATAATTAGTTTGCATGAAAATTACACGAGACTTATGAAGATAATCAAAAGGTTGCAAATATCGGGCTTTACGGATCATTAATCCGTCTTCGTTTATATCACCGTTATCTCTGTGCCACGTATCTACAAATAATGTACCATTGTGCATGGATAAATCAGCTTTATCGCAGCACGATGAAAGGATTTTCATTTTTCTCCTTCTCTCTGATAATATATTCTACCCTCATTCCATGTACGTTTATATTTTTCGCGATGCTCCGTTTAATAATATACCTATATTATTCTTCGAGGATCTCGAATCGAAAATATAGAATAGCGGTCGACAAAAGCGTATCGCGTGGAGGAAAAGTGATCTCCTTAAAAATATTATGACATAGCGTGAAATATTGTCCGAGATATCGCGCATACGCCATCATTCATTTCGATGTTGGATCCCATTGTCCCTTCTTCGCTTATCTGACGATCATCGTGATATCAGTCTATGAATACGTACCGCGTTACTTTATTAGATCCGACTATTTTTACCATTCACCAAAATAACTGTTTCTGTTACATCCGTTATTAATTTTCAGGGACGGAATGGCAGTGATAAAATCGACATGGATTTTACAACAAGATTTATTTAATCGAAGAGATGTATATGTTAAATTCGAATTTTGGACTTAACAGGAAATTAATTCTTTATTTATCGTAAATCTTTAATATTTACGAATATTTTTTGCAATTTTATTAATATATTTATAATATTATTTATAAAAATCGAAAAATATAATGAATCTAATGTAAATGTTTATATGCTTAATAATATAATTGCAATAATTTTGATGATAATTACGTCGATTTTGAAACAATTACATGATTAAGATATCCCAAGTTAACAGTTTAATTCTTATTTATTGAATATCGCAAAATCAGAAAGTTCTTTCAAGTTTTAATGCTTCAAAGTCGACATCCTAAACGATCGTCTAAAATCGTTTCCGTTTCACGGTCTCACAATCCAATTACAGTTTGAAATCGGCTATGACGGAGACCGACCCGATTAAAAGGGAGCGCACTTTGTGCGTTGTTAACAAGTGGTGCCACGTGAAAATCCTTGCCTCATTAAAATTACGTCAAAGGAATTACTACATTCTCAGCCCTTCATTTGTCGTCGAAAATGAATTCCTTATTTTCAGTCTCGAGAGCAATGGTTTTACTATTATAGAAATTGTAGAATCTAGATATTGAAAAAAAAATTCTTATTAAATTCTTATTGCACGCGATAATAGAATAGATTTTTTTGTTGGAATTATAAAAAATAAGTAATAATATTTAAAAAATATTTAATATATTTATTTGAATTGGAAATACTGATTAATTAAAAAAAATCTTGTTCTACAAAAAAAAAGGTATTCTATAAATTAATATAAAAATATCACAATATCTCTTCATTTACACATAGTCAATTTTTTATTTTTTTCAATTGATCATATCATTAATAAGATATTTATTAAAAAACTAACTCTAAAATTTCATATTTACAATGTTTGCAATACACTTTCTAATTTTTTTTTAATATATATTTCAGGTTAAACAATTATTATTACATTTGAAAATTTAATAATCACATTCCAAAACAAAAATAACAATAAAAATATTAACAATCTCGATTTGCCATCTATCACGTGTCGAAGTACTTAGTTAACCTTTTGGAAAAATATTCGCCCAAGGTAACAAATAATGATTTGTCTTACAATCTTGTCATCCTTACCAAAAATAATCTAAAAGAAAATGCATTCACCACATACTTTTGACCCGCATCTCGTAGAAGAGGAGTGTGGCCGTAATAAAAAGCGGCGCATAGATGCATCCCTGCACGGCAGTAAAGACGCCGGGCGAGAGACATCCAACGAGGGAGCAGCAAACCGTTCGGGATATTTCGTTTCTGGCGGAAGCGTGTCGGTGTTATCTCCGCCTCTGGCGTCAGTCGGAGCCCAGCCACGTTCGACTCGTGGCGACTTTCGTCTGAATAATTCCTGGTATCTCATTGACCCATCTTGAGAATGCACGTAGAAGAGGCGGGTTTCGAGCGACAGCTTTGTGGCGCCTTCGCGATCAAAAAAATTAAGAAACCAAGGAAGGTGGATTAAGGATCGCGCAATATATTCGAGATAATTTTGCGTGCTGCGAAATATTTAAGAATGGCTATAAAAGTTGATGGTTGTATGATCATAGTTAAATCTAAGATTGTCTGAAAGTCGATATTGTGTTAGATCATTGAATTTGTCTTTTTGATGTTAGCCGTTGATAATATCACGAAGTCAATTGTTGATATTAATTTTTCATTGAAAAAAGAAAAATTTTCAGAAATTTTTCATATTTAAATATGTAGATTTGAAAAATGATTAACATTCGTTGCATTTTAAGAAAGTAGAGAATATCGTTGTATATTTAGTTATTGTACATTGTGAAATTATCAATCCCAATATAATATTTTCGGTATTTTAATAATGAGAAAACATAGAATTTTATTTCAAATATCATTTTGTAATTTTAAAGATATATTTGAAATAATTAAATAATATAAATAATCCAAGATACTGAATTTATATGACTAAAGATATTTTATTTATTTTTATTTATTATTTATTTATTATGTGTAGAGAAAAATGCACTGTGCATTTTATGCACTGCATATAACTCTGAAATATATATTGCAGCAGTGATTAATCAGAATTATGAACGATATATCCAGTTAGCGTATTCTACTTTTGAAAAAGATTACTAAAACATAAAAATGAGTACTTGAAAATAAGGTCAAGCAGTACATATGAACTTTTATTTTATTGTTCCTGCATTTAGAATGCACTTGTTATCTAGCTCATATGTATTATAATAAAGCTAAAAAATATTTGCATCAAAATATAAATCATGATAAATTACATATGTATATAAATATCATAATAACAAAGTACAATGGCAATTTCCATTTTATTATGTTTATTGATGTTTTTCGATAAAATATCGGTGTAGAAAAATGGCAAAAATAATGACTTTTTTGAAAATAATGATTTTGTAGAATTATAAAAAATTTCAAATGAAATGTCAGACAATCAAGGTTTCCTATAAATCAACAAAATTTTAAAAAATGAAAATGTGCATGTTCATAGTTCATGGTTTTCTCCTAGCTTTTTATATATATTATATAATTATTACCATTTATAAGATTATATAATTAATACATTTCAAAAAGAATAAAAGCAACCTTGAAATTCCAATATTAGCTAAAAAAAAAAGCACCAAAGATCAAAAAAGTCTTATTTTAATTTTCACTACATTTTAATTCATCTAGAAACAAAAAACACATACTAAATCTCAATAAAAAGATCTTGTTTTTCCAGTTACGTCAACAAAGCTCCATCCGTGACGTAGCACAAGGTCCTCGGCAATAACTTCTATCCGAGGTTCAATCGATAAAGCCTCCCATTTCGGTCAAGCCGAAAACACGAACCAGTTTCCCGGAATCTCGAACTTCTCTCTCTTTCCCTCCCTCCCTCCCTTCCTCTCTCTCTACTATTAATACCACTACTACTATTATTAGTACTACTACTATTACTACTACTACTACTACTATTACTACTATTTCTTTTCACAAAATTAAAAATATTTAATATTTAAAAATATCAATAATCCATAATTATATATGTTTTATTTTATTATAGTTCAAATCAGTAGAGTTTTTTTCTTATTTTTTACGTGTTAATGTCTTTTGCAACAATGTTGCAAGAGAATATAATAATATAAACGCTACGACATAGCTATACAATGCTATACAGTAGCAACGATGATGGTGAAAAAAATAAAGGAAAAGGAAAGAACGTAGCACACGAACGAATGTCGTATGAAATTATAATTGTATTCAAAGGCGGAGGCGCTGCTGCCTCTCATTTGTTAAGCAAGTCGCGCATTGACGTCACACTATGCGAGCTACAGAAAACTACAGAAAAGTCGACTTTCGTGGGAAACTCGATTATACATTTTATTTTAAAGTTGTCTTGATCATTAGAAATTAATTTATTATCGGCTTTAACTTTTAAGTATCATTGGATCATAGATAGCCATGATAGTTTAAAGACAGTTTAAATTTTATATTGGATTAATTTTAAATTATGTTATTTTATTATTACAATTTTAATTTATATTTTATATCATATATATTAAATTATATCGATGAATATAATTTATTATTTGAAGAATATTTATGTTATGAATTGTAGAACAAATTTAAGAAATATTAATGAAATATGAGAGAAAGATATCTGTAAAGTTATGACTTTAATATGAATTTACATGATCACTTATTAATTAAAAAAAATATATCGATATTTTCTCTCCATGAAAATATTTAAATTGCAAGTAATTGATTCTGACAGATGTTTCTACATAAATAATGTCAAGAATGAAGGTGTTATTTGGCAAGTTAAAATAATCGATTTTTTTCGTTGCATAATTTTGAATTTTTTTTTTATTTTTAAAAATTTTATTCTCGATGACATGTCGATAACTCTATTTCAAAATGTTATTTTGAAATTAAATCTTCGTTAAAGAAAACTTTTGAAGGTCTCGCTATTACAATTTGTATAAATTGCACTTACTATGATGAAATTTTAATTAATATCTGATGAATTGAATTTCAATCGATTGAATCCACTTTATCTGAACATGAATTCCTATTATTTGAATGAGAAATCATAAATAGTGAGAAAAATTGGTGTTCTTTTATATGAATTCCAATTATGTGTATAATATATTTACCATATAGAGAAACTCCATTTATGATGGAACAACATTTTAGTTAATACTCTATTAACTAAATTTTTTTTGATTGAATCCTATACTTATCTAAACGCGTAGAAAATATGAAGAATGAATTAGAGATAGAGCTTTAAACTATTTGTTTCTACTTAGATTTTTATGTATATAATCAGAATTTGGAACTGTTGAGAATTAAAAGATGTACAAAAGCTATCTATATTAAAAATATTTTATTCAAGATTACAACATAAAAAAAATCTATATGCAAATAAATTGCCAGACGACGCTAATATTCTACAAAGTGTATTCTAAAGTGTATTGTATTATAAAATATAATAGTTTCTAGTATAGTTTAGTAATAATCTACTTTTAAAATCATCCAATTGTTCTCATAGAACAATATTTCTCAACGTGGATCGTGACTCACAAGATAATTTGTAGGATGTAATTACTGCTGTCATTTTCATTTAATGACTTTCAATGTTTATTTTTTTTTAATACAATTGCATAATCGTATTCCATAGCAATACCAGATGTCTCATTATTTAACTTAAAAAGAAAAACAGTATCGCTAATTATTTTGCGATAATATATATAAATAATAAATATATATAAATGTATAATATTAAGTTTTTAAATTTCTCTTATAAAGAAAATAGGAGGTTGCAAATTATTCGAACGTCACAAAAGAAGTTGCAACTCAAAAAAATGGTTGGAGAACAGAGACATAGAGGGATGATGATGCACAGCAGCAGCCGCTTGACTCTCCCGCTCTGTCTCACTCGGAAGTCCCGATGGTATCGACATACATTCACGGAACCTGGCTCGTATTTTTCGACGAGCTTCTTTGACGGACGCATACAACGCTTTCAGGCGAAGGGCGAGCACGGTCGCGCGCACCCGTTCCGAATCTAGGTCATACTCTATGCATATGCACATAAATGCACTCGAATGCCCCAATGACCCAGTTTACGAATCCTGACGTAGTTATATCGTAGCCTCGACCCTATGACGTGCACTCTCCCCAAATCAAGGTAAACTTCCCCCGATACACGCTTCTATTCGCTATTAGGCCACTTGTCTCTTCCTTCTTTGTTTCCTGTTTGTCGAATGGCAATCCTTAGCCGCCGAGAAAGGATCATCTTAACGAATGTTACTAGATTAGATGCAAAGACGGAATGATTTTGATGTGAAGGATTATTATTGAGTGAAAATTATAATTCTGGAAGAATGTAGAATTTATTAGAGATTAATCTTTAATTTTATTTTCAAGAATAAATCAGATTGGAATGGAAATTAGAAAGATTTTTGATATTTTTTTCAATATCTTCCACAATAAACAATAAATCATTTATGTGAAAATTTTCATTGTAAATATTGAAATTATTTTGCAATCCTTTTGAGGATCATGCATGATTCACAGATTGCAAGTCCATGCTTTAAAAAATGATCAATTATAAAAATTATAAAACGAATTTCCTAATCCAAAATATTCAAATAAAATCGGTAATTTATTTTCCTCCTTTTTCCATCAAAAATAGAATCGATTAATCGGAAACCGATCGAAATAGTTACGTACTTTTCTATTTTATTCGTGCTATATGTACAACTTGTTAACGACTATACCACTATTTCCGCGTGAAACGCCCTCTTTCTCCCGAGTATTTACGTAATGACGCGGTGACCTGTTTCAGCCGGCGCTTAAATATGTAAATTGCGCGGAATTACTATTGTGTCGGCCGTGTTAAGCTTCTTATTCAAATTGTTGCTTTTAATCTTTTCCCGGTGGCCGATCTAACACGTTTCGGAACAACGTTGTCTCGATTAAGTTCCTTGTAAGCTAAAACCCGTTTTCCATTCTTCTCATATCTGACATCTGGATTTGTCTCTTACGCCTCATAAAGTTATAGTAGGATTTATAGCAACGATGCATTCTAATATATATTCGATGCGAATTGTATGTTTGAATTAACAAATCTTTTTTTAAACTAAGAATGCTTTGATTTTTTTTGAGAGGAATTATTAACCGTTTTCTATATTAATTTTATATTAATTTTTAAACTACATTTTGTTTAAAATCAATTGACGAAATTTGTATATTTTCCACAACATATCAATCTGGAATGGTTAGCGAATTTGAGAGCGATCAGAGAAAGAGTAATCAGAGCTCTTGAACCTTGAAAGACGACGTGTCAGCATTAAGATGGCAACATCGCAGTACTGCCCGTGAGATATACACGAAAAACGATATCTGAACTTGTGAGTGAGCGAAATAGCATCGCCTATATAGTGCGACACAAGAGCAGCTCATTCTTCCATGGACATTTTACACTCCAGTTTTGAGTGCAACGCTTCGCACGAGTGCAACTCTGACCTAGAATTTTAAAGACTTATTTCTTACATTCGCTACTTTAACGTGACCATAATAAACCATAACCTTCGTGCACCGGATTCTAAAATGACAAAGCAAGTTGCTATGAATCAGTTTCATTACCTTGGAATTATTATAAGTTTTGCTATACAAAAGTTAATTAGAGATTGCACTATAATATTTTTCCAGTCTTCATTGATCTGTTTAAAAATGAATAATTAGTATTTAGAAATGAATAATTATACTCATAGCTACTTTATTGGTTGAATATATAAAAATATGTATATAGATGAATATATATAAAAATATATATATATATAGATACATACCATATTGAAAGATATATTTTGTGGAATTCTTTTTTTAAAAATCTTTGACTTAATAATTATTTTTAATATTCTATAATTAAATTAATTCTTTTAAAATTGATTTAAAAAAGAAATCTAATTACATCATTCTTTCATAATGATAAAAAATAACTAAACATCTATTTTTTATTTTTGATGTATCATCAACACGTGATTCTAAAATTATTTTTTCTCCTATCAAGGAGATATTTCAACTAGGGATTATTTCACATGTATTTTCTTATAATGAATATCCTAATAGGACATCCTACGCCTGTGTCATAATTAATCTAGTAAGGCATGAAAAATACACAAGTGTTTTGAAAGTGACTTTGAACAGATGTCGAATGAAAAAAAGAACTATCGGTATCAGCTTACCTTCAATCCTCAGACCTCCAGTGTTTTTTCACTAAGGAGAAAGACTGAAATATGAGCTTCTGTTTTAGGCAGGCTATGCCTCGACTAAATAGGGTGATCCTTTACATGGAAGCCGAAATATCATTTGTTAGACAATAAAAAAAATTTTTGTAATCCTAATGAACCAGTTATATATTCATTTTGGATAAATCAATATATACTGACTTTCTTTTAATAGTATCTTTAACGATAAATTAAATTTAATATTCTGCGTTTTAAAAGAAAAATAATATTATTAATGTTTTAAAAAGATATATTAAAATTTTACATTAAAATTAATAGTTGAATATAAAATTCAAATGAAATTTAAAACAATTAAAAATTTCAAAAATCACAAGAAATATGATTCTGTCAGAAACACTGTATCTTCTAACCTCAATTTTTAAAAAAAGATTTAACGCTTTTAAAAAACGTAATAATTGAAAGACATTCTTATAAAATTAAATTATAAAGTTAAAAGAATTTTATTGTTATTTACAATAATGAATTGCCAACGTGAATTTACAATTTTTCTTTTTTTCTTTCTCATCATTTCGCATCTTGTTCTTGTTGCGACAAATGCTTTTCACTGAGGCAAATGGAAAAGATATAACGAAGCGCGCGCAGCCAGTGCTCTGTTCGTTACGTTCGCTTAACGAGTGCTTTAACACTCGAACTGTATAACGAGTACACTTAACCTATCTGCATTGATAAACGTGTCGTTAGATTTTTGCAACCTTGATCCTAATCAAACGGATCGCAGTATTAGCGTCTAAATCGCATAGGAATTCTATTGAAAATAATATTTCAAAGTATATCATCTTGTATCGAATCGTTTAACCTGGATACTTGTGGGAAAGAAAAGAAAAATCGTTACATGTATCACAAAGTTCGGAGAAAATATTTTTTTCGTACCTCGTTGTCTATTTCGAACCATTTCTCCCGCTTCTATTTTTTTTTCGTCTTTTTTTTAATAAAATCTGAATTTCATGTCATGTACTACGAATGTGATATTTTTGACACGTTTACTATACTCTCTCGAATATCTCGTGTATATTACCGATAAAAACGGAACCAGATGTATCGACCGTATATTATAAAACTTTTTTTTCATATTGAACAAGAGACACGAGAATTATGAGTGATTTCAAGTCATTTCAATCTCTACGTATTTATTTTTCAAAATTCCAAAAAGATCGAAGATTGGACAGACGAAAAAAGTTATTGACTTGTTGGTTTTCGTTAGATTTTACTTGTTTCGTGCACCGGTAAGTCGAATCGACATGAAATAGATAGAGTGGACATTCGTTGCGCTTGACACGGTGAAATGCGTTTCCAACGTGCGAATAATTTTTAGAAGAGCATGTATTGTGCTACTGCGTTTAAAGTGAAACTGAATACGCTTGGCGTCGAAATAGAGAGATTTCGTATAAAATTGAAAGTTCGCAAATTGTAGAAAGATTGTATAAAACTTCCTGGAAATAATTTTCTCGAACTTTTTTCTTCAAAAAATTTTATTGCAAGAAAAATTTTAATAATTATTAATTAAAATAAGAATTAAATTCAAATGAAGAAAATGAAAAAAATAAGAAACAAACACGAGAAAATAAAATTATAATAAAGTTTCGAGTAAAACCTAAAAAATCTCACTCGAATTGATCGAATTATTCATTCATATAATTCACAAATTCATATGGAATTTATTCATAACCTCAAAAAGTTAGTTTCATCGATAAAGGAAATCGTAAACTCTAGATTCCACTAACTGATTGAATGCTGATCGGAAAATGGGTGAGAGTTTTCGATTGTTAGGCTTTCTGATTCGAAATTCAGCTTATACAAACAGAACCTGGTTTCCGCGATAGCAAGGGCAGCCGTTTAGAATCGGTGCTCGCAACACGATGCATAATACAAATTGGTGTTCTTGCAACGATCGATAGCCCATGTTCGATTGTTCTCTCGGGAGCAGTTGCACATTGTTATTACAAGTGACGCCACGAGCAATGTGTTCTACTATTGTGGTATCCTTAATTACTAACGAAATTGGTTTAAAGTAGATTTATCTGTAATTCGTTGAAAATATTCTATATTTTATTCCTTTTTATCTTATTCTTTCTATCTTTTTTTTTCTCTTTTCTATTTAATTTCTATCACTAATTTTTCTTTGATTTTTCTATGACAAAATTTTTCTATTCGATACGATTTCAATGTATATTTCAGAAAATGAGAGAAATCTTCGAAGTATGCTTTATATTGAATCAAATCCATGACCATCATAATTTCGTTTCTGTTTTATTTGCGATATATATTTTTTCAATTTGAATGATTTGAAATAAAATTACGATGTATATTTCTTTCTTCTTTATTTCGTTTTTGTTAGAATAATAAGACTTTTGCTGGATGGAAAAACAATTTTTTTAGATTTATATGATATGAATAATGATTAAATTTGTAAAAATTATTATTTTGTTTTTTCAGGGAGAAAACAAAACATATTTATCTTGTCGATTGAACACGTCTTTAAAATGTATTATGATAACAGAGAATTAAGATATTTGATTGCGTATATAAGTCATAATTTATCATATTCTTAAGAATTATTAATTAAAACGAATAATATAAACAGATAAGTATAATGAAATTTTATCAATCTTAATAATTTATTCAAATGAAATAATCGCATTTTTTGATAAAAGAAACTTAACCTAAATTTGAGTAATTTTTTTAATACAAAGAAATTTACAGTTAAATTATTCCCTTTATATTTTATACATAAATACTTTCTTCAATATATTTTCTTTAAGTTTCGAACATTTATGCAGCAACGTAATCTCACAAAGGGAACAAATGAAAAGAAATTTATCAATTACACGCGATTTCTCGACACCAGTGGAAAGCCCTATTCTCCCATTCTATCGAGAAAAAGGAAATGAGTAGCTATTCGTCGGTCACGATAATTAGCCAAAGGAAAAGAAAACGACGAAGAAAAAGAGAAAGAGAACCAAGTGACGGAGGCGAGTTGTCCGCTTCACTCGGCTTTCTTTCCGAAACTCATCGTGCAAATAAAGGAAAGGGCCACGTCGAGGACGAAGGCCACCGTTACACATTCATCTTTTAAAGCGGCACTTTTCAAAGCATCACTTTACGAACCACCCAACTGCGTTACAGGAGAGAAAGCTCATTCCCTACATAGTGTCGCGAAACGCCTCTTTTATCCCTCTTTGCATTGCGTCCGTAACAACCATCGACTACACGTGTACTCGTCAATATTTTCCCTTTTTATTATTAATCTCTGCAGTCTCGTTCGTCCTCACTGGCTCGTCTTTTCTTAACATAATGTATATATAGAATATATTTTACGATATTCGTTATAATATTGTGATTAAGAATTTTGTTGTTTATTAAATAAGAAGGAATTAAGGAATTAAGGACATTATAACGTAGATGGAAAAGCCTTCGATTGACTTTTTGACCGGAGAGTTGAGAATTTAAATTCTGTTCGTTTTCATTTTTTTTTCTTTAAATAATATAATATATATGTTAATATATATTCGTGAGATACTTTTGGAGGATCGATTCTGGAGGCTAGGCCAAGGTTAGTATATAGAAATATCGATTAAGGGTTATTTATTAAGTTATAAGCAATTTAAGTTTGCAGTAGATGAAGCAAGGCAGTGTTGTGACAAAGATAAAGCTGTCTCAATCTATCTTCGTCTCGTTTATAACATAATAAATAATGGATAGTTTTTTATAATAAAATTTCTAATAAATCTTTAATAATAAGAAACATAAAAAAACTGAAACTTTTATCATCTCTGACGTAATTTAAAAATTAATATTTTTATATAAATGTCAAATAATATTCCAAACTAATATTAGATCATATAGTATCCAACAAAAGAATAATTTATTAAAAACAAATTTTTTTCAATATAAAATCTTTTTATACAATTTTCCTTTTTTCATGTAGAGTTATTCTTATCGATTGTATACTATCAATTTCAAAACCTTGTATAAATCCATATTTAACGTTATCCTTCGTCATATTCATACATTCTCTTTCTCTCTCTCTTTCTCTCTATCCTCTGCATTGCTACTCCCTCTCCTTCTAATCGTTTTATCTTTGAGAACTAATTGTTACTGAACATGCGGTTGAACTTCTCTACGCAGAGGAGCCGGGAGGCCGGAAAGTGTTGTCAAGCTGAAACAGCTTTTCTCCCTCCACAGCTTTTTAAAAGCATCCAGTCGTGGATGACGCATCAGGTAGCACAACACACACGCTTCCTCTCCCTTAAACACACTCCATCCAATGAGCGTCTAGCTACGAGCGTGTGTAGCACGGTAAAAAACCGAGTATCGAATGCTACCGCATGAATAAGTCCCTTTGAAGTTTCTACCACCCACAGCAACTCCGCTCCGAAAAATCTTGCAGCTTCAACCGTTTTAAAACCGACACGTTCTCCTCTCGTCATCTCGGCTACCCAGTCGTGTATCTTTATCCCTGTGTGCGCCTTTAAAAACCGAGTTCACACAGGTGCGGCCAAGTTTGCCATCCCTCTCCGATGCTTTCGTTTCTTGCCGGAGCAGGAACAACGGAACGAAACGAGGGAAAAAAGAGGAAAAGGGTGAAAAGGGAAGAGATGCGGAGGTGGTATTGCGCCACGTGTTTTGAAACTGTCTCGTCGCGTGGGACGATGAGCTTTTGTGGCGGAATGCACGCTGCAGCAGGAGCGGAAATATTTGTCCGGGTCTATCGTTACTCACAAGATCCTATTTCGCGCGAATTAATTATAAAATACGAATTAATGGCATTGCCGCGTACCACGAACTTTTCCATAGAATTAAATTCTATTTATGATTGGACCGAGCCAGAGTTCATGATTCACCACTGCTAATTAATTTTCTATTATTGAACATCATTGGATTTAAGGAACATTTTTGGATATCCATCATTCGTTGATTAAGAAATTTTAAACTTTATTTCAATTTTCTTCAAAATATAAAGAATGTAAAAAAATCAGAGATATAATGGATATATATATATATATAAAATTAATTTTGACCAGAATTTGAAAAATCATAATGTATAAATTATGTTTACATTTAAAATTAATAAATATAAATATATGTTCCTTGTTTTTCTTTTTAATTTTTTTTACAAAACAAGATGCTGTCTCAAAAATAAAATGTTGAACGAAAGAGAAAGTAACATTTTATTCATTTCAAATCTTTCTGTATATTATACGATATATTGTTACTAATTTATTTCATTCTTTATTTTTCTTTAATTTTGCACGAACCATGATTAAGTTCCTATTATACTCGTCTTGTATGCATTTGAAGTTTCAAAGCACGATTTAAAATCCTGGAGTTTCATTGAATGCTCATTACTACAGTTGAGTAAGAAACATGAAAAACGTAACAAGAATGATAAAACGCGATACGGTAACGCGTACAAAAGAGCTCATTGTAGAGAAAAAGGGGTACTGAGAATAAAATACCATGGAGTATTATTGCAAAAGAACACGATTGTAGAGGGAACGTTCAAAGAATGTTAGATGAAGTAGCGTCCTCGAAGCAACGAATGTAAGCAGCATTATGTTACTCCACATAAAGTTCGATATTTTGAATCCTATTATTCGAACATGATAAAGCTTACCATTAAAATAAATTCCTTAATAAGAAATATTATATTATGATATTTTCTAACTTACTATTTTCATCCATTTAAATTCATCATTTGAATATCGCTTGTTTTTAGAAGTTCATCAAAAAAAAATGTTTCGAATAAATATTGAATAATTTCAAGGAGATGTAATATGATGTAATTAATTTTCTCTTGGATGAACTTATAGAAGTCAACACTTGAGCTCACTTTAGATGAAGTATCATACGACATTACCTATGGATATCAAAATATATTAAATTCCAAAATATATTAAAATCTATTTAAAGAGAACAAATCGAGTACTTACATAAATTTGAAATTCCTTGTTTTAGATTTGATCGATAATAAAAACCTCAAAGGCATGATGATAACAATTGATTATTCGTGACTAGGTTCGTAACAATGATTTATGCTGTTACAACGCTAGTTCGGATTCTTGCGACCACAAAAGCCACGAAGGATCACAAATTCTCTCCTTCCTTTCATCTCTTTCACTTCCTCCGAACGACCACGAGTCTGGCTTCGTTGGTAATTATTTATGTTGACCGGTCTCTGCGCGAAACAGTAATTGAATTTGCGTCCGTAAAACGGCCACTGACCGTAATTTGTCGACTAGTCAAAGAGAAGGAAGAGAGATAAAGAAAGAGAGAAACCTAGATGATTAATACAGGTCTTAATTGTCCTCGTTGTTGTGCGAATGAAACGTGGCTGATGATGTGCTTAAAGCCAATTGAAGTCTCTTAGGGGAATCTTAGATCTCCTGGAAATAATGAACTTGTGTCTACGATCTTATGTACAAAATGTGAAATATCTTTCTCTTTGAACAAAATTTTTGTAAAAAATAAAAGATTAAAAGATTAATTTCAATGATTTATATCGTTATCACATAATACGATCATATTTATAGGTTATATTGACTCGTCATATCATATTATTTATCATATTATATATCATTTGTAAGATTTTAATAATTTTGATTGTTTCTCTCAATTATCTAAAAAAATTTTTTCATTGTGTTTATTATCTAAATGTGATTGAAATATAAAAATCAAAATTAAGAAAATTTAAGACGAAAAAAAGTCGGAATTAATTCCCTTTCATACGGCGTGTGCCTATGCAAAGATAAATAAAAAAACCACGTATGTACACCTTAAATACTTCTCATATAGTCTTTTTCGTCTCGAGCTTTTTCCCCTGTCGCAAAGCTTTTTTTCAATGTTTCCCGAGCGCGTTTTCTTTCTTCTTTATCCTTATAACGGATGAGCCAAAGAGGCGACCTCTGTTATGGACCCCTCGAAGTAAGAGAGATACGCCACGAAGGGGCGCGACATTTGCGATTCAAAGCACAACGAGAAAATGAAGATTAAGGGCGGAGGGTTTAAACGAACGAGAATTACGACACGTGTACTCATGCGAGAGGGTATGAAGGGTGCTAGAGATGGTGTCTATAGTCACCGCCTGACTCTTTTATTCGAGTTCATTTTATAAGTCAATATCGCAGCTAGAGGCAAAGAATTGCCTTTGTAAAGTTAAAGCGTTAACTGAACAGTGATTTGTTGGTCCAAATATTTCGCAAACAAACGGATTGACGATTGAACGAATTGTACAGATAATTTTATTTGATGTTAGGGATGATATATCAATGTACGATATTTTTTGTTGTGTAAAAGATCAAAAAAATTATAATATTAATCTTGTTTCTTAAACTTTTTTTCCTGTTTTGCAGATAAATCTACGCCTCATTCTTGTCAGTGGTAAGACAAAAGAGTTCCTATTCAGTCCGAGCGACTCTGCGGGGGACATAGCGCATCATGTGTTTGAAAATTGGCCAGAAGGTACGTTATTATTGAAATTTATTTACATTGTAAATACATGTAATCTCATACATGAAATAACTAATCAATGATTCTTTTTATAAAAGATTTTTATTATAAAAAAAACAATAAATAAATAAAAGAACAAAAAGGGATAAAAACAAATAAAATAAAATTATGAAAGTTTGATAATATTTATCAATGAATTTCATATCGCATATTCACGAGATTCGAGATAATCGCATTGAACAATAGTGCAAGACGGTCCAATTAAGTCTCCTGTCGTATTAATCTATCATTCGAAATTTCACATGACATGATGTGTCATAGAAATTCCCTTATCATCGAGAAACTCGATGGAAGGATCGCGTTGTCACAAGACACACTTATACAATTATCCATACAATAACTGTATTCGATACGATATATTAGACGAACATATTTTTCTATCAATAATTAAACTTAGTTTATTGTTCATCCATACTATACGATGGTATTTTACGCTTGTATTTTCATCGTCTATCATTGTCAGACTACGTGAAGCATGAAAGTACCGAAATTGAAAATACTCGCAGAAATATATAGACCATAAAACATCGCCATCTATCGTGAGATATATCAAAAGCATGAAGTACAATTCAATTAAGCATAGTACAACGCGAGATGGCGAAACGAGCAAAGCAAAGATTTCGAAACCGAATGAGAAATTTGTTAGCATAATTTATCGTACAATGAGATTTACATAAAAATTACGTTAAAAAAGAGAAAATGGTAAAAACGAATTGATTAACGAGAGAAAAGTTTCAAAACTATAAATGTCATTTATTATTTTTGTTACTTTCTATGAATGCTTTGAAAAAATAATGTAAGTATTATTAATTATATATTGAAGAAACTTATTAAATGAATAATGATATATTTATATTTGTTTAACGATAAAAATAAAGAATGATATATTAAAAAACAGTTTTTAAGTAGAATTCATTAATTCAGAACAACATGTCAAATATATGCAATATTAAAAATTTTTATAGGTTATGTTATTATTTTATTATCGTTATTTCTTCTTTTCTAAAAGCAAATAATTTTATTTATAATAAATTCAAATAAAAAAAATACAAGATAAAATTCTTAAAAATCTATTTTCTATTTTAATCTACAATTTTATAACAAATCTCACTTTATATTATTTTTATTATACGAAATACAGGGCTCCTCGTAAGCATTATAATACATTATATACATATTAATCTTGTATCAAAAAAAAAAAGAATTAGATTTATCTTTATTTCCATACTGTAAAAAGTGAATCGAGTGGGTTTTCATTCTTCTAAGAAGCATGTTTCATGCAAATCTTCTCAATACTTGAAAAGTAACCCGTTTAATATTAAAATGTATTCAGTGACCGCAACATCTCTTTTGCTATCTTAAATTGTCGCATCGAAATTAACTTTAGTTTTGAAAAATAGAAAAGAGAAATTATATGAAAATTATTATTGTTATTGTATAGTTAATTTAGATAACATTCCTCAAAAATTCGATAATTAATAATTGCGTCAAATTTTCAATATGTTTGATCATGTTGTCCGATATAATACAAGAGAAAATCTTTTTTTATCTTTGAATACAATATATAATAATTCAATTTAGCATGATTTTTTATCTAATGTTTATCTAATTAATATATATAATTTATATAATTTATGTATATTTAATATATTTTTATCTTTGTTTTGAAATAATTCGTAATTATGAATAAAATTTATGAATATTATATGCTGTATATTAAGAATGCTTAAATAAATTTTATTAGAATCTGTTACAATTCGTTAAAATGATATAGTACAAAATATATTTTTATTAAATATACCATAAAAAAGTATATTTAAATTATAAAAATAAATGTAAAAATGAATTTCAATAATACATGTAATTTTTATATTTTGAATCTGTCATGTTTTGTAGTAGTATAAATTTGAAAAATTAAATCAAATTTTAATTTAAAATTACTCTCAAAATTACTCTAAAATAATCTTATCATAAATATTTTTAATACATATATTTATGTACAGAAATGTATACAAGAATATTTCTTCTTCAAAAAAAATAATTTCAAATATTTAATATTTAAAATATGAAAATGAAAAAGGCATAAGATTTCTATTTTTCTAGTTTAACATGATTGCTAAAATTTTTACGCGCATTTTTAAGAAACACAATTTAACATAACATTGAATTATTTCTGTCTGTTATTTTCAATTTCAATTTCTTCTTCTTACTATTCATCACATAATTTCAAGAAACATGGTCAGGACACGTCATAATCTTATCTTTTACATCCAAAATAGAATATTTTCAAATCCTTTTGCGTGTCATTCATATTCTTTTTACACCGTCGACGAATTAAATTCGATGAACAGTAAAAGTCGAGGAAATTCACGGAATTTTTGCTGAGAAGCGACTGATGAAATTATCAAAGTGAAATATTCTCGGCATCCTTTCCATAAGTCTAATGAACTTATTATTATTTTTTTCGTCATGTCGTTGCCCCACCGATGGAAAATGCTGAAAATATTCGAGGCAAGGTCATTCCGAGGTCTTATACGAGGTTTCTGTCTCTTTATCTTTTCAGACTGGGCGGAAGAGGCAGTCGCTAAAGCGGAGATCCTGCGGTTAATCTACCAGGGCCGTTTTCTGCACAGCAATGTCACGCTCGGTGCTCTTGGGCTTCCTTTTGGGAAAACCACGGTGATGCATCTGGTCCCACGAGAGAATCTTCCCGAGCCTAATTCTCAAGGTAAATCATCGACCAGCCATCCTCCTGTTTATCCTGTCCAGGAGAAAAATGAAAGGCGAAGCTCTGGCCAGGGGAAAGAGAGCCTTTATCTTCTGAACCAATATAGAGCCACGGTTTAATCCTCTAATGGTGGATTCTCTCGAGCGAACATAGCTGGCTAGAAGAATTTTTAAGTATCGTTGCTTTTTGGAATAGTTTTCATGTTAGTTATGGGTTTAGATTTTATTATTAAAGTCAGATGAAAGCTATTATATTTTTTTTTGTATAATAGAATCATATACTCAATACGGTATCATATTAATTCCTTTAAATCTTCTTAGGAATGATATTCAAGTGTTGATATATCATTATATTTGCATTCATGAACAGTTCCATCTTTCTTTTTGACATCACCTAAAAATTATTTAGAAATCATTAGGATGATGTGTTCATTTGATAGGATTCAAAGGATGAAAAACATGTGATATTATATAAATAAAGAAAAAAAAAAATAATTGAAACAAGAGAAACTAAACAAGATTATATCATTATGTTTATGCTTATATTAATGTAATAAATCCTAATTCTATTTAGATGTTTATAGTAAATTACACATCTATTGTAAAATACAATAGTGTATATATTGTGTAATATATATTATAATACTATATAAATACTAGATTAATTTATACTATAATTTTATTTTCTCTTCTTAATATTTTTGTTATTTTTAAACTTAAGACGCATAGGTCCTATTTCGTATACCTTCTCATCTATTATATATTTCGTAATATGAGGCATCATCAAAATGAATCAATATTTATCAAAGTTTATTATTTATGAAAGTTAAAGAAAAACCATGAATATATAGTTACTTTATTTTATTATATATGATTCATGTGCCTCGCGGAATAAACATGCAACATTATTTGCACACTCAACATACTGTTTTTCTTTCTCCGTGCGGTCTCGTTAATCCTCCATATGTATATTCTATGTGCACTCGAGATAACAACGATTTACTTTTTCATTCCCTATGGTCACCATATAAATTTACATTCTATTTTTCATCTTTTGTTTCCATATCCTTTTTAAACAGATTTTGCAAATAGATTTAAAATATGTTGCATTTTAGATATATTATAAATATTTATATTTATATATTTATTTTACAGATTTTTTTTTAAGATATCCTTTTAAGATTTCAATCCAATTTTGTTTTTATTACTTTTTTTGTATTTTAATTAAAATTTCATATATATTTTATCAACTAAATTTGGAAGTAATATTATAAATTTATTTATCTTTTCTAAAATCAATAATTTATAAATATAAAAAAACAATATGCAACAAATATTTATTGCCAACATTTATTAATATTATTTATATATTGATCATTCAATATAACAAATTATAATATTCAATATTAGCTAAAGATCCCAATCTCACTTTTGCTAATTACAGGTCTTCTGCCTAACGGCGGATACATGCACATACCAGCCCGACAACATTCTGCTTCCTGATTATGATTAGCAAAATCTTACCAAAAAAAAAAAAAAAAAAATAATAAAAACAAATTCCAAAGTGTGTCCATGTCCGTACAATCCAAATGTCCACGATCATCGTTCCTGTACAACCCAATCTCTTCGCGATCTTGAAAAAGAATTACGTGGCAGAACTCATGGTACTTAATTGCTGTTTACTTCGAGGTATTATCTTTGTTATTGTCGACGACAAATAACTATTTATGCTCAGTAAACACGACAACTTTGTAGCGATACTTAAACCCGTGTTTCCTCCTTGACAAGAAATGAAAAATAGAAAGAAAGGGGTTCGCGTGTCTCGGTTTATAGTCTGTTGGCGGAAGTCGAGGACAACGCGCACGCGAAAAAGATTCACAACTCGCTACTTTTATATCACATTTCAGAATAAAATCAGAAATAAAAAAACATGTAATACTAAAGATTTTTAAATATAATTTATCCATGTGTTTTCTACTTGGTCTTTCCTTTTGTATTTTTATTTATAAATTTCAGAATAACGGTATAATTTATGAAATCTCATTTATGAAATCTGTTTTATTTTTTTTTTTCAACTCTCTATTCAAAATAACTGTTTCAAGTAAGAAACAATTTCTCATTGTAATTAGAATAACAAAACTATTACTTCTCTGTTACAGATCAGAGGCAAAAAAGTAAAGGCGGTGGGAGTAGTTGCTGCTCAGCTTCCTGTTGCATACTTTAAAGAAAACGTTGGCTGCCCTGGATATATTTTGAGGTCGTTCCGTGTGAGAGCCAGCTCCCATGTTTCTTCAAGCTGAGCCATGGTTTCTAAGGTTTCGACGCTGGTGTATCATTGTTAGTGGCTGAGCCTCGTGAGCATTGTAGCAAAGCAAAGTTGTCGCATCCTTGTCGCCGATTCATCTAAATTAAAACAAAAAAAAAAAAAGGATTATTTTGGTTCATCTGCAACGCACGCTAAAAACATCGTTCACCGTCCCAAGTGAACAAATTCTGTCATCATCAGTCTCTTGAAGAGAAAAAAATATAATGGAAAATTTCAAAGTCAGATTTATATGTCTATAACATCGTATAAATTCTAAAAAAGAAATTGTAATGTAAGCCAAACAACATAATTTATACATGTTGTTTTATATTTTGTTTTGGTAACTGTGTACACAAAAATCTATTTATAACTTATATCGCGTCAAAGAGATTGTCAAGTTTTTAGGCATATCGATGACCTGGTTCGACATTGGAACACATAATGTCGAAAACGCCGTTCAGCTTTCACGGTCCAGAAATCAAGAGGAAATTACGTGTTTCAAGGAACATCAACGATCATCATGTTTGATTTGTTCGCTTTTGCAATCTATTATTAATTGTATCACATATAAGAGAAGATGATTCTAGTAAGATGAATTCCTCATCGGAAGAGATAGGATGTTAAAGCCTTTCAATGAAATAGGGGTTGAAAATACGCTCTGTTGAACGGCGCTATACGATGCTTAGAATCTCAACCACTATTCGACTATATTGCAGCGTTAAATAGTAATTATTATTGTAGACAGGATCCGTGAATGTGTTGCGTATGAATGAATGTGTTACATTTGAAAGATCGATGGAGAGGAAGAGAGAGTGTGTGTATATGTGTGTGTGAGAAAGAGGGAGAAAGAGAGAGAGAGAGAGAGAGAGAGAGAGAGAGAGAGAGAGAGAGAGAGAGAGAGAGAGAGAGAGAGAGTAGTAGTAGTAGTAGTAGTAGTAGTAGTAGTAGTA